CGGGGCTCGAACCCACGAACCGCGAGATCATGACCCAAGTGAAAGTCGGACGCTTAACCGACTAAGCCACCCAGGCGCCCCTAGTTGATCCCTTTTTATGGCTGAGCGGCAGCACTGTGACCTCAGCACCCTTTGCGTGTCCGTTCTCCTGGTGACGGGCTTTGCTGCCATTTTGCTTCGGGGCTGCCGGTGGTACAGCTGCCGTAAGAGCTCGTGCACAAGCCTTCCTGGGACAGATGTCTTCGTTCTTCCTTAGGCAATTACCTAGAATAGAATCTCTGGATCAAACGGTGGGCGTATGTTTATAAGAAACTGCCAAGCCCTTTCCCGAAGTGATTACACCTGTTTCCATCCCCACCGGCAGAGAAGGAGCGTTCCACGTGCTCTGTGCCCCACCAGCACGCGGCGGCGGTGTAAACTGTAGCCACCCTGGTGAGCGCCATGGCCTCTAACTGTGGTTTTAGTTTGCTCGTCCCTGACGGCCGCTGGCGAGGAGTGCGGACTCGTGTGCTTATCGGCCTTGTGTCAAATGGGTCAGAGTATTTCTTTCCAAAACGTTTGAGATCATTCACCTGTGAGATCATCTGGGCCTAGAAGGTTTCCTCGTGGGGAGGCCTCTCACCCCTGAACTCCCCCACCCTGCCCCGTGGTGTTGGTCACAGCATCACCCGTAGTGGCGACGGGCTGGAAACGGAACGAAGTAGTCGGGCGGGTGGTGGTATCATGGGGCGTCCGCACCGCAGAATATTAAAGAATGAGAACCATGCCAAGTAATTTAGGGTTTTCATAGGCTTTCTTTTAAAGCTTCATTGAGATGTAATTTGCATTTCATCAAATCCACCTGTTGTGGGAGACGTTTAGGAAATATATGCAGGTGTGCAGCTGTGAGGGGGCTTTTGCTAACAGTCCATTTCTTTGGCAAACATTGGGCTAGTTTGACTTTCAGTTTTGTGTCAGATTTGGTAACTGTGTGTTTCAAGGATTTGTCTATTTAAATTGTTGTATTTATTGGTGTACAGTTGCTCATACTATCCCCTGGTAGCTTTTTAATATCTAACTGTAGTGATACGCCCCTCTCGCTCCTAATGTTGGTTGGCAGGGTTAGTGTTTTGTGTCACTTTTCCCTCCATTGCTCTCGCCAGGGCTTTGTCAGTCTTACTCATCTTTCCAAAGAACCGGCTCTGGGTTTGTTAATTTTCTCAATTGTTTGTTTTTTGTGCCATGGATTTCTGCTCTTTATTATTGCTCTTCTTCTACTTGGGTTTAATTTAGTGTTCTGATTCTACTGTCTAAGGGTGAAAACTTAGATAATTGGTTTTTAACCATTTCTTCCTTTCTAACATGCACTGCTGTATTCAGAATACACACTGTATTCATAAATACAGCGCTAGGCCCTGTTTTCTTGCATCCTATAAATTTTGATATGTTGTGCTTTCTTATTGCTTGGTTTAAGTTTTCTAATTTCCCTTGTGATTTCTTCTTTACCCATGGCCTATTTACATGTGTGTTGCTTAACTTGCAGGGATTTGGAGCGTTTCTGGCTCTTACTGATTTCTATTTTAAATCCACTGTGGTCAGAGAACAACGTGTTCTGTAAGTCTTCGTGTTTGGAAATTTATCGAGACTTATCTTTGGGTCCAGATGCTCATCTGAGTGAAGAGCGTATTGTAGCTCTAGGTGGTAAGTAACAGGTTTTATATAAAGGCTAGCCAGGTCAAGGAGGTTAACAGTGCTGTTAGCACCTCGTATCTCTTTGCCAGTTTTCTGAATGACCGTTCTGTTGGTTGTGTAGAGGGTATGGAAACTACAGCCCTTTCATCTTCTGTGAGTTTTCACTTAGCGCATGTGTACGCGTGCACGCGCGCTCACACACACACACATGTCTGTAACTGTCATGTGAAGTCATTATAGATAGTAAAAATCTTTATTTTGGAATCTACTTTTTCTAGCATTAGTATAATCACATCTTCCCCTTCAGCTTAAGGACTTTCTTCCTACTGATTGGATTGGTTAGATAAACTTTTCTGTAAGATCTTTCCAATAAAATGAAATGTTGAAATTGCAAAAATTCAATGTTTTTTATTTTTTAAAAACTTGGACCTGGTAATATAATTTTTCCAGTTGTAGAAAAATGCACGTATGGTAGATTTCATCGCCTCTTTTTGGAGCAGAGGTTGCCTGCACTCCTCTGTGTTCACGTCCATAGTCGCTTCTGTCTCCAGCAGGACAGTGAAAACAAACCAACTGAAAAACAAAACCCTGAATATCACCTTACCACAGAATTCGAAGCAACTCTAAGGCACCGAAAAGTGGCTAATTCCAGTTTTTTAGATTTTTTTCCCTATTTTTAAAAGAGAGAACAGAGTTCATTTGTGTTTTATTAAAATAAAATATTAAAAAAATAAAATAAAATAAAATAAAATATTGTCGGGGCCCCTGGGTGGCTCAATCAGTTGAGCATCTGACTCTTGATCGTTTCAAGTCATGATCCCGGGATCATGGGATCAAGCCCTGCGTCAGGCTCTGCTGAGTGTGGAGCCTACTTGCAATTCTCTCTCTCTCCCCCTCCTACTCACCTCTGCCCGTCTCACACACTCTCTTCTGAAATAAAATTTAGTAACCTAAAATGTTATTTGAGCAAACCTAGCAATACTCAGTTGAAAGTGCCTTTCTAAACATACTAGTTCATTATTTCTGAGAGAAATGTCTGTGGAGGCAGGAAAGAATTATGTCTGCATTAAGCAAAATGTGCTTCAGGGCATGATAATGGGTTTTCATATTAAAGATGAGAAGATAGACACTTCAGTGACCAGGCTGTTTGACTCTGCAGTTCTGAAAACTTACTGTTTCCCTATAGAGTGTTCGGAAATCAGAACTGCTGGTAGCTCCACTGGGTTCCTGCTCTCTCCTCCGAAGCAGGGCTTCCCAGCCGGGGCGCTGCTGACATCCGGGCCCAGATTGTTGCTTGTTGTGGGGCCTGCAGGATATTGAGCGTCAGCCCCCGGCTGCTACCACTGAATGCCAGTATGGAACAGTATGTTCAGGACCTGTGACCGCTCACAGTGTCTCCAGACCTTGTCAAACGTCCCCCCGGGGGGCAAGGTCCCTCCCAGATGAGAGCCACCTGACCTACGGCATTGTCACGGGTGGAGGTGGGATAGGTGCCAGATAGAGGTGGCCTCTCCAGCAACCTAGTGCTGAGTCAGGGGGCCCCCCTCCAGGTGTGGGACCTTGACGAGGGGCTCCGGTGGTCTCTTCCAGCGCAGACCCCAGGGAAAGGGATTGAAAGAGGCTCTACATCAGTTGCCTACATGCCGCCACAAAGTGTTGCACTTGCTTTTTCTTCCTTTTACCTGATGGGTATCTTTGTTCACCTCCCCTGTCTGAAGGAGAAAAGGTGTTCCTGTCATGACACTCAGAGGACAGTCTGGAGCGATGTGTTCTCTGGAACCCTCGTTCTAAGGGATGGTGACTAGACAGTTTGTAAGAACAGATCCTGGGGCAAAAAAGTATGGAAATGTTGATTTAAATAAAGGTAAACTATTTTATTTTGTAGGATTTTTTTAGATGTATACTTATTTTTGAGAGAGAAAGCGTGCGCGCGCACGAGAGCGAGTGAGTGAGCAAGCATGAGTGGGGGAGGGGCAGAGAGAGAGGGAGACACAGAATCCGAAGCAGGATCCAGGCTCCAATACAGGGCTCGAACTCACAAACTGCGAGATTGTGACCTGAGCTGAAGTTGGACACATAACCAATTGAGCCTCCCGGGCGCCCCATGAGGATTTCCGAAAGCTTTTAATATTAATGGTAATTTATGACTTTCCAAAAGGAGCTGGAGTGGGCCTGCCTCTAGCTTCCTTAACATGAGGTTTCTTCATAAAGCGTTTTCTAGAGAAAGAATGTTCCATGGGACATACTTGGGAAGCATTGTTCTAACCGCATTTAGGGGAAGCGTGGTTCTGTGGGCCAGGATGCTGGCGAGGAGCAGGCATGGGGTAGGCGCTAAGCGGACATCGTGAAGGGAGAGGGTCGTGGTCTGGTCTCTGCACACAACAGACGTCCGCAGGCGTTCTCAGAACGGTGAAAGACTCCTATTCTAGGTAGTAAACGACTATCCTGAGCTTCCTGAGTGCTGCCCCCTCCCGCCTCCACCATCCACTTGCCCCTTGGCCAGCACTCCCCAGATGTCTCCTCTCTCCAGAGCTAAATAAAAGCCAGACAAAATGCTGAGCTTTACGCTGTATATCAAGTTGGTAGAACAGTTTTGTAGTTCGAAGGAAGACGACTGTTCCCGTGGTGAGGTCCTTTCAGAGCCAAGGTGATGGAAGCCTCTGGTGGATCTAGTCATATGACTGGGCATGACCCTGACCACGGGCCCGTCCACGGGGAGGCAGCTCTTGTAAGCGGTCTCTGGAGTGTGGTGACAGCCAGCCTCAGCCCATCCGCTCCCATCGCACTCACGTGGACATGACTTTGGATGGAAATGCAGTGTCTGGCAGATCCGTCACCATAGAGGATGCCAGCAGTAAGCCACACCTGCCGAGGGGATGCCAGTCGCCAGCTGAATGAAAGGGAAAAAATGTACAGTTTTCATTTAAAGATGAAGATTAGTGCATTCATGGAAATTTGAAATGAGTATTTTCAGGGGGTATTTCTGTTGCTCAGTTGGTTAGTTCTCATACACCGATTAATAGGAAATTCTAACATTTGTTTCTATGTTTATTAATTATAAAAGAAACTACTAAGGTATCCTTTCAGGAGCTTCAATGGGAAACATTTGATTATGTGTCCAAAGCTATAAGGACTTTATTTTCATCAGATGCTGCGATGAGACGTGTTGAATGTCCGCTGCTGACAGGAGAAATGGAGCTGATGCGCTTGCTCCAAAGAAGCGTGAGGTCCGCAGCTGTGCTGCAGGGGTACTGAATGATGACCGAATAAGCCTAACCTGGGGTTGACCTAAGTTATAAATTAGTTCTTTATTTTTGCCTACACAATAGTATCGAGCAAGTGAACAATCTACGGGAGATACAAGCACTGAGACGCCTGAATCCACACCCGAACATCCTTACGCTGCACGAGGTGGTTTTGTAAGTATACCGGGGGCTCTCCCGTCACCTGCATTTGATAACTGTGATCAAAGCTCTTCCTAAGGGAGAACTCTGTGGTGAACATTTAAAAGATTTACTCTGTAGATCAGGGAGTGATGATTTTCATTTTATCTTGAGTCATGTATTTACTTGGACAAATGTGTATCTGATTCCTGATGTGAAAATGCCTTCATTTCGGTGGCTCCATATCACAAAAGCGTGCAAAATTGAACCGGCTCCTCTCCTGGAGCTCAGTGAGGCTCCTTTGTAGACAGGCCTGTGCACCTGAGGCCTCGAGTGTGAATTACGGGCTAACGGGAAAGCACTGTGGTCCTACATCAGGGACTGTCACATGTCAGGGAGTGTCCCTGCCTGTTGCCATGTCTGCACAGTGTCAGGTAGAGACCCCCCCTCCCCACCTTACTATGGTTGCTGTAATTTGGGGGACTTGTGACTTCTGTTCTAATTATAGAATAGTTTCCTTAAGTAGGGCTCCCCTGCCCGGGAAGGCAGGGCACACCCCACCCACGGGTGCTGGCAGTCCCGCACCGCCCTTCTAAGACCCCTGGCCGGGAACTGGGACCCAGGGCTCTGGAACCTACCTTTCTGTGCGCCCTGGGAAGGTGCACGCCCCCGGAAGCCTCTCTGTGGCGCCCCGGGCTGCTTTAAAACCAGCCAGGGCCACTAGGGTCTCTGAAGCGCAGTGGGCTCTCATCAGAGGACAGCGCAGCGTGACGCGCAGAGCAGCCGCGCGGCCTCCCGGCCCGCAGGCTCCCGAGCTGGCCGTGCGGGCGGGGCCTGGAGCCCGCAGCGCTCACCGGGCACGAGCCTGCGTGTGCGCCTGCGTGTGCGCCTGCGTGAGCTCCTCAAACAGGGCGGCAGGAGCTCCAGAGGTGTCCTCCTCCCCGTGCAAGCCCTGGAGCCCACCGGCGCTGGAGGTGACCTTCCTCCCTTTTCCCCTGACCGGTTTGTGGATTCTATTTCCCCATCATAATTTATCCCAGGTATGGGGAAGGAATCTAGGAAGGAATTTAGATAGAACTAAATTTGCAGTCGCAGAGCAGGAGTTAAAAATTCTTGTTCTCTGTTTGGCCCAGCCAGCTCTCAACCTCCTTTCTCTTTTCTGCCAATAGTTAATTTGGTATATTTTTAAAAATTTATTTTTAATGTTTATTTTTGAGAGAGAGAGAGAGGGTGACACAGAATCCGAAGCAGGCTCCAGGCTCTAAGCCGTCAGCACAGAGCCCAACATGGGGCTTGAACTCATGAACCGTGAGTCTGTGACCTGAGCTGAAGTCGGATGCTTAACTGACTGAGCCCCCCAGGCGCCCTTAATTTGATATTTTTAAGACACAGCTCATTAAAAAGGGGGGAAGCATTTAGAGTTTTTGCTTAAAGTGGGATTTTACTCTCATTTTAAATTAATTTTACCTGAAATATTTATTGAAACTTGCCACTTCTGTTTCAGTCATTATGTCCCAGGCTTTGAGGTGGGAGTGCTCTATGATTATGAGAAATGTGCACAAATGAATTAAATATTTGCTTATAGTTTCTGATTAAGACAAGAAAAAAACATTTTTAAAAACCTGGTTTCTTCTTCAGTGACAGAAAATCTGGTTCTCTTGCACTAATATGTGAACTTATGGACATGAATATTTATGAGCTAATACGAGGTATGTAGAATAATTTACAAGCTCCTCTAAGATCTTCTTCTAAAGCCTGTCGTTCACATATACTTTGTGTTAGTTCTTGAAACCCTCTGTCACCATGGCGGAGTGGTGACACGTACATGCCCAGTGCTGAACCGCTTGGCTCTTGGGAGGTATTTTTCTGGCATTCTCTTCTACTTGACACAGGGCGGCCAGTGAGAAGTAAAGCCATCTGCCTTCTGGCTGGCAGGTGACGCGGGTGAGGTGGCAGCTCAGGCCTTCCTCACCTCAGGTCCCTGCAGGGGGCGCTGTGCGGCTCCAAAGCTCACTCCCGTGGCTCTGCCTCAAAACAAGGCAGGGCTTGTCCCCCGGGTTACTCCCTCAGCTGAGAGACCACCTCCTTCTACTCAGATCCTTATAAAGTCTCTCTCCCACGTTACAGGGTGCTCACTTATTTACTTTCTTTTGAACAGTCGAGCACCGTTCAGGAAAGCACAGCGCCTGAGCCGGCCTCAGTCAGGGCTGATGGGCGAGCCTCGTAGAGGTCACCTGAAGGAAGATGGAGGCAGATGGTTGGCCCACGGTTAGCACATCTCCCTGGGGGTCTGACTGCACGGTTGTGTTAGATGTCAGGACAAACGAGCCTCGTAGCTGTCCCTGAGAAAGCCCAGAAAGTGTGGTGCTTTATGGATCACGCTGTGCCAATCAGACACATGAAAACAGATCTGCTTCTTGTGACACGAGTGCCTGTTTATGGCTTGAAAGAACAAATTAAAAACTGCTGTATCATCTGAAATAATTTAGACCAAACTAAAGGTGGTGTGGAAAATGGGATGGAGCATTTTGAGACGAAGGAACTGTTCTTGTGATGAAGATGACATTGGTGCGGGGGGAGGCGCGTGAGGAGTTGCAATAAAACTGTGATGGAGTGAGGATGCGGGGAAGGGCGTTCTCAAATTAGGTCTTGTATGTGGTTTGAAATGTGTGCTTTAATAACTTAGTAAAAAAATAAATAGTATAAATAGGCAAATTTTTCTACACCCACAGAAGTTGATGAAAAACTTGTGGACCTTTTCAAGAAAATAGGAGATTGCCTTTTATCTGGGAACATATGATACTTCTATGTTACCAACCTTGTGTATTTTAGTCATAGGTAAGCCCACCACTCGGGGACCTGTTTCATTGTGTTTTTTATAAGTACAATCCTAACAAGGTTACCGGGTTTCTCGGTTTAAAACCTATTAAAAACAGAGCCGTTAGTTAGAAGGAGCTTCTAGAACTCGGCCCACCAGCAGTAACAGAAAGTGACAGGTGACAGTCCCACAGTGGGGGATGAAAATATAAAACAGGCCAACGGCAACAACAGCGCCACCACGAATGAGCGCAGTGTGGGCAGCCGGCCGAGAGGAACGTGCCACCGCGGGCTGGGCACACCGCCCCGGTACACCTGATGGAAACGGTAGGAATGGGAAGAAAAGATTTTAAAAAGATTCCCGCTGAAAGTGATTACAATAGAGCAGAATTTTACTTTCAACGAGTAAACCTTATCGATCTGGAAACTTCACTTGTTAAGCATCTATTCCAAACAGTCTGGATAAATGAGGTGTTGCTCTTGATTACATTTTCTTCTATGTCCTGTGGGACATGGATTGTTCACTCTGCTCGTCCCTGTACATCTGTCTGTCAGAGTGTCAGGACAGGGGTCCCCAGTACAATCAAGAGAAACAACCAAACTTCATTATATATATATATATATATATATATATATATATATATATACATGCATATATTTTTTTCAGTGAGCCAACATTTTGCTTTCTTTTAATTAAAAAAATTTTTAATGTTTATTTTTGGGAGAGAGGGAGAGGCAGAGCATGAGCAGGGGAGGGTCAGAGAGAGAGGGAGACACAGAATCTGAACCAGGCTCAAACTCATGGACTCAATGTGGGGCTCAAACTCATGGACTGTAAGATCATGACCTGAGCTGAAGTCAGACACTTAACTGACTGAGCTACCCAAGCACCCCTAATTCTCCCCATTTTAATGATGGGGAAATGGAGTCATAGAGAAGTACCTTGTCCAAGATTATGGACCAGTAATGGTAGACATGACGTTTGGACTTAGCCTGTTCCCAAGTGCGTGTTCTCAACCAGCACACCGACTGCCTCTTGGCAACCCTCTTCGGTTGGTACTATTGTCATCTTCATTTTACAGACGAGGAAATCGAGGTTTCAAGGATTAAGTGAAACCACCACACCCCACCGCTCCCCTGGTCCCTCCTGCTGGCCCCAGCTCAGCATCTCAGACGAATGGACACCTGCTAAGTACCTGTTCTTATTGATGGTGACAGTGGTTTATTGAACACCAAATCAGTCACTAAAGCTTTTCCTACTAGAATGACAATTCATTTTTCTTAAATGTCCTGGATGATTAGAATCTTGAGTAGCACTGTCAGGTACTGAAGAACCAGTTAATGGCATGAGAGAATGGTCGCATGGTCGTGGTTGGATTGTCTACTTACATGCACAGCAGTGCGCAGGGTTGGGCAGAGGGAGAGAAGAACAGAAGATGCTTTTTTGATAAACAATGTAGAGTCTGTTGAGGAGAGAAACTATTGAAAGTCAAAATCACTGGAGATGAATTGCTGGGGTAGTTTTCCCTTTATCCAGTAGGTGTCAGATGAGGCAGAGAGGACTGTGGGCTTCACCGGGAGGAGAAGGGGAAGTAGGCAAATGCAGGGGAGGGTGTCTCGTTCACTGCTACAGGCCAGGCACTGCTCTGGAGGTGGGCCCAGTGGGGAGCATGACAGGTCCCCTCCACGTGGGCTCACACTCAGGAAGAGAGAGACACTGAACAAGTAAAGAAATGATCAAGAAAGAGATCAAGGGGCATCTGGGTGGCTCAGCCGGTTAAGCGTACGACTTCGGCTCCGGTCATGATCTCACAGTTCGTGGGCTTGAGCCCCGCGTCGGGCTCTGTGCTGACAGCTCAGAGCCTGGAACCTCTTCAAATTCTGTGTCTCCCTCTCTCTCTGACCCTCCCCTGCTCACGGTGTCTCTCATTCTCAGAAATAAATTAAAAACATTAAAAAAAAAAAAAGATCAAGACAGGATCAGTGTTATGAGTGAATAAAACAGGTCACATGTGAAAGTGATGGGGACAGAGTATTCCAGACAGAGACAAGTAGTGCAGCGGTCCTGAGGCCCCTGTGAGGTTAGGAGGCCAATGTGGCTGGAGCACTAGGAAGAAAGTTGCAGGAAATGAGGTCGGTAGGGGCCAGGGTAAGAATTCAGGTTATTCTAAGTTCAGTGGGAAGCATTAGTGAGTTGTAGATGTGTATTTAGTTTTGAGAAAGAGAGGGCGAGCAAGCGCGAGAGGGGTGGAGAGAGGAAGAGAGAATCCCAGGCAGGATACGTGTGTGCTACCAGCGCAGAACCCGACACGGGGCTCAATCCCACAAACCGTGAGATCATGACTTGAGCCAGAATCCAGAGTCGGACACTCAGTCCACTGACCCACCCAGGCGTCCCACGTTGGTGGGTTTTAAAGCAGAGAAGAAGCATCTTTTGATTGGTGTTTAGACCACTGTTTCTAAAACTATAGTAGAAGACCGGTTGTTTGTTCATTTGCTTTTCCCTAATGTGTCGTGGACCAGACTTTGTTAAAATACATAGAAATTAGTTACTGGAAAATGGTCATGTGCTTGGATGTCACAGCAACGCTGAACTGCTGTACAAGTTTCCGGTTACTCTTCGTTTTTGTCGTCTCCTCTTAACACCAGTAACAAACAGCCTCCGGACCAGTGTCAGTTCACGGACTGTGATTTTTAGAAGGACTTTTCTGGAAGCTGTTTAAAGAATGGATGGGCCATCGGTGGCTGTACCGGTCATCCCTTCCAGAGCAAACAGCAGCACCTGTCTTGCCAGTGTAGCCCCAGGGGGACCTATGTGACATGGATGGCTCCACAGAGCTGCTGGGAGGGCTGAAGAAACGCTCTGGTGTGGCAGCCAGGAAGGAGCTTCCAGAAACTGTTTCTGCAGGATGGGGCTGCAGGGGGCTGTCGCCTCTGCCACAGACAGGATGCCAAAGGCAGGGGCCGCCGCTGCAGCCCTGGCTCTAGAACCAGGCCACCTTTGCCTCGGCAGGAAGCGGCCTCTACCAAGGTTCGCACTCTGAGCGGATGCCCTCCCTCCTCTCTTCTGCCCCTGGAATTCGGGCCTGAGTGCTCTTTCTCGAGCCGTCCGCGGGACGCAGAAGCCAGTCAAAGCTGGAAGCCCCAGCTACAAGTGTGCCTGGCCCGCAAGATGGGGATTGGGATGGGTCTGCATTTGCGGGTGAGACCAGCGAAGAGATGGTAAAGGTATTGTGCCCGCTGCTCGCTTGGGAAGAATTGTCACGCTCCGCACGGCAGGGAGCGCGTGGCAATCCTGGCTGCTTTATTCGGGTGCATTGTGCTTACTCACTGGACTCCTCCCACCTGCAGCAACGAAGGCGGTCTTGGAGTTCATAAAGACCGTTTAAGATGATAACCTATTATTTTGTCATTTTTTAAGTTTTTATTTAAGTAATCTCTGCACCCAACGTGGGGCCTGAACTCACAGCCCCAAGACCTCAAGTTCAAAAGCGGCATGCTTTTCTGACTGAGGCAGCCAGGCACCTCTAGGGGCATCGATTATTTTAACGTGTATCTGATTTTGTTGTTCTTTTTTTGGTTTTTTCTAAGTATCTCAAGTGAAATGACCATGTTTTTGTGAGTGGCTAGTTAACTGTGCCCCCCACCCTCGGGTGGCCCCTCAAGCCGTGGGTGGGCCCTGCTGCCCCTCACCTGCCCTCTGCTGCTCCCCCCCCCCCCGTTTCTGTGCTCTCCCATGCGAGGCCCGACATGTGTCTGCTTCTCTGGTGCTTGTCCGCCTCCGCCCACTGGGCCGTTTGCCTGCTGATGGCGGGGCCCCTGCCGGCTCCCGCTCCCGGTGCGGCTCGGCGTGTCGCCCACCTGATGTCGTTCCCAGATACCGAGAGTCGTG